CCCTGCCCTGTCTGTGTATACCGCCCTGCCCTGCCTGTGTATACCGCCCTGCCCTGCCTGTGTATACCGCCCTGCCCTGTCTGTGTGTACTGCCCAGCTCTGTGTGTGTATACCGCCTTGCCCTGTCTGTGTATACCGCCCAGCTCTGTGTGTGTATACCGCCGTGCTGTGTCTGGGTATACTGCCCTGCTGTATCTGTGTATACTGCCCTTCCCTATCTGTGTATACTGCCCAGCAGATGCTGTTCAATGCTACCTCTCCTTGTTTCTTTACAGATTGCTGAAACAGCAGGACGAGAAAATCAAAGACTCAGTAGTAGAGATGGTGAATCAGCCCAGGAAGAAGGGGAAATGCTGCACGTAGCCTGTAACACTGCCCTGTCCCATTGCACTCACCCATTACACTGTCCCATCACTGTACACTGTCCCATCACTGTACACTGTCACCTTGTACCCTTGTTGCACTCTTACCATAGCCCTACTGTTGCTGGAAAATTCCTCGAATACCCTTCAGAAACACTTGCCCTGTCTGTGTTTTACACTATTACTCCCCCAGTTTATATTTGGATAATTAAAGTCTCCCAATATAACACCGTATAGATTTTGTACCACTCTGTCTTTTTCTTACAAATCTGATGAATAGCTATACCTTTCGTTGGTAGCCTATAGTATACATCCACTAGTGTAATGGCCCCACTATTGTTTCTTAGCTCTATCACAGACTTCAAGGAGCTGTGATCCAGTAAAATCTCACATTCAATTCTCAACTTTGAACAATCAAACTATTCCTTGTCATAATCATAATAAAATAGTAATCTATTTTACACTTATGTATAAATCTTCTCAGCAACAGGTATTTTGATGCTTCAGAGCTACAATTTATGAAATGTTAAATCTCTAAAATATATTGAAAACTTGCATAGATCAAACATCATAAGTGTAAAAAAACCATATTTTTTCATTTTTGGGACAATAAACTGCAATTGAAGCTGTACTGCTGAAACTGAAAAGACATGAGAGTTTGTAACCCGAGAATCAAGTGTTGTATATTGTTGAACTGTGCAAAAACAATGTTGTTGTTTTGGAAGTAAAAACAAAGATAATTCAAGACTGATCATCACCAAGAATATTTTGAGCTAAGGAAATTCTGCCTGACAACTTGCACTGCAACATGTCATAGAAGTTGTCAATGCCAACAGTGGCAGAGTGTGAAAAACAACTAGAGTGTTCAGGTAGACAGTGTCTCTCTCTCTCTCTACCACCCCGCCCCCCCTCCCGCTCTTCCATGTGGTGAGAATGACAGAAAACCCAAGAAAGCTTAAAAGAAATAATTCATCCAAAATACTTCAGGTCCCTGATCAACCATCAGATCAAAGGATGACCATCAATGTGCAGACAACACCCTATTTTATCTGTAAACCTCAAAAAGACTGAGGGAAATTCACTTTCCACCTTGTTGTTTGGACATTTGATCTTCAGAATTTTGCTTACTCTGTACATATTCTTTTATAGCCAGAGTTTATATGTTAAACTGTTCATATTTAGTTTGCCCTAATCATGTTTAAGTTTGTTTGTGCACATGTGTGTGTTTGTGTGTGCACATATGAGAGGGTTGGATTATGAGGAGAGACTGAGTAGACTTGGCTTATACTCATTGGAATTCAGAAGAATGAGGGGAGATCTAATAGAAACATATAAGATTATAAAGGGAATAGATAAAGTGGAGGCAGGGAGGTTGTTTCCGCTAGCAGGTGAAACTAGGACTAGAGGGCATCGCCTCAAAATAAAGGGAAGCAGATGTACGACTGAGGTCAGGAGGAACTTCTTCACCCAAAGGGTTGTGAATCTGTGGAATTCCCTACCCAGTGAAGCGGTTGAAGCTACATCGCTGAATGTTTTTAAGGCAAGGCTAGATAAATTTTTGAACAGTAAAGGAATTAAGGGTTATGGTGAGCAGGCGGATAAGTGGAGCTGAGTCTCAAAAAGATCAGCCATGATCTTATTAAATGGCGGGGCAGGCTCGAGGGGCCAGATGGCCTACTCCTGCTCCTAGTTCTTATGGTCTTATGTATGTGTGTGTACGCGTGTGTGTATGTGCGCATGTGTGTGTTTGTGTGTGTGTGTGTTTGGTGTTTTTGAAGGAGTGGAGTTGTATAAATCAGAAATCTGTTATTTTTACTGCTCTTTTTATGTGAACAGGGTTGTTTTCACTATTACTGAAGAAATCTGGTGTGAATTGCTCTTGTTCTGAGTCATGGACTGTCAGCAAGTGTTTATTCTGATGGTTGTGGAACAGTGGGGCACGGTTATCTGCACACTCTACCCACTTGTACCAAAAGTTACAATCGCTTTGAAATGATGCCAAGCACCATCATGTTCACAGCTCACATTTTGCCTGTAGCCAATGGCACAAGTTACTGATAAATGTTTAGTTTTTAATAACTTGTTTTATTTTTCTAAACTTTGACCAATATTGTATATGCAGGAAGGTATCATTCAATTAACACTTTGTGCAAATCTTGAAAATATTATCAAATGCCTTTTTTTTGACGCATGTATGTTTTGTGAGCATCAGTAAAATGATGTTTGCTTAGAAATCCATCAAAATGTCTTTTGTCTTTTTACATTGTCGGCATTTAAATAACAACATTAAAGCTCTAAGAATATTATGTTTTTGGCAAACTTTGAAAATATGGCTCTTCTTGTTATTAAAGTGGCTGATTCCTAGTCTAACCCACCCCATAACCTCTCAAGGACATCTCTTTTCTGTAATATTCTCCTGTCTTTTTCCCTTTCCTATCCTTCCTGAATCTCTTGTATCCAGCAGTATTTAATACCCAAAGCTGCTGTGTTTATTTGAGCTAGGTGACTGTCATAACCAGAACATCATATTCTCAAATGGCTATCTGTCTACAATTTATCACCGTTCACATATTTACATCCGTGCACTAGTTTGGACTTTCTTACATTCTTTCATACTTTGACCACACCAAATACCTTAGTTTTTACTTTAGAGCTCTGTGTATCTTGTTTGTTAACATTCTGTTTAATTTTACTGCCTGGTTCCCATGCCTTGCCAAGTTACTTTAAACCATCCCCAGTAACATTACAAATCACTCCACTGGGACATCATTCCTGGCTCTGTTCAGATATCACCCAGCTGTTCTGTACAGGTCCCACTTTTCTCCGAAACTGCTCCCAATACCCAGGTATCTCAAACCACCCTTGCCCCCTCTCCCACCCCTGCATTTTGTCCCCAGAAATACACTTGCCTGCTCTATCCTCACCGCTAACCTGGTTCTGTCAGTAATGCCAAGACACAACTCAGCCTTTCTTTCATTCACTCACTCACTCTTTTCCTGACAGTGCAATCCTATCCTGGCCTCCCAGCCACCCAGTTCTGGATAAACAATCTCTTTAAGCTGTTTAGACAGTTCTACCATATAGTGCTAATAGTCACTGAGAAACCACATTAATTTTTCATCTGACTGAGTGGTTATTACAATATATCACCATTCTTTCACTGTCACTGGACCAAAATCCTGGATCGACCTCCCTAACAGTACATGGACTGCAGTGGTTCAAAAGGACAGCTCAGTACCACCTTTTCCAGGGGCAACTCGGGATAAGAAGTAACTGTTGGCTTTATGAGTGATGCCCACATTTGGTGAAGGAGGTGAAATATAAAATCAGTAAGAAGGTTCGAGAATGTGTCCTTTCTTTTACTTCCTTCTGAGCGTCTCTAAGGGAGAGGCTGCTATTTCATTTCAGGTGGCAAGACATCAGAATATCTCCAAAACTTAACCCCAGCTCCTGCACATTGGGACAATCAGATTCCACTTCCCAACCAATCAGCACTCTTCTCTCTCGCAGAATAAACGTTAGTTGTCCGTGAATTAGCATTTGAAATAACTTCTGAGGCTGGTGTCCCCTCACCAAGTCACTCTTTATTTCAAGGTGGAAAGTCATTGACATTGATCCAGTTCCTTCAAACTGAGCTCTCCTGTTTATACCTGTCAGGCAGCACTCCCTGATTAGACCAGATTAACAGCCCCAATCAGGGGACTCATATTCTATAAGGTCCAGCTGGCTAACCTTGTTACAATTATTACAACATTCTTGTGAATTGTCCTGATGAGTTTAGGCCAAAGATCCTCACCAAAATATGTACTTTCTTCAGCAGAAGTCAAGATCTGTACTAATAAACACAATTTAAAATAATCTTCATGTTAAAAAGAAACCTCTTAATTCTAGACAACAAGGTGCAGAGCTGGATGAACACAGCAGGCCAAGCAGCATCACAGGAGCAGAAAGGCTGACGTTTTGGGCCTAGACCCTTCATCTTAATTCTAGTCAGTCCCAGTTGTGTTAGTCTCTGTACATGCATTACGTATGTAACATTTAAATTACCCAGGTCTTCGAATGGCACGTGCATGCATTGTCATTGACTGTTCATCCTGTATCAGCTCATGTAACTTTTTGCTGATCTATTCCTGTTATTGGGGAATATTGACCTGCTGGGCCTGATGATTATCCTGTACTCTGTACAGGTCATAATCTCCCTTTGTCCTAATCAGTTGCCTGTAGTGAAGGAGCAGCCTCTCTGGTTGTACGTGTATATATTTGCAGGAGTGAGTATTTATCTGGGTGCTTATGTTCACAGGGTAACAATTGAGTTGATGACTGCACAGCTCAGGTCTCATGTTATAGATAACACAGTGTGGAGCTGGAGGAACACAGCAGGCCAGGCAGCATCAGAGGAGCAGGAAAGTTGATGTTTCGGGTCGGGACCCTTCTTCAGAAATGGGGAGGGGGAAGGGAGCTCAGGAGTAAATGGGGGGGGGGGGGGGGGCTGGGGAAGGTAGGTGGGATGGTGATAGGTGAGTGCAGGTAAGGAGTGGTGGGGATTGGTCAGTGAGGTGGGAGGAGCAGATCCCACAACTGTCTACCTGCACTCACCTATCAACTAGTCAGCTCCTCTATTCAAGACAACAAGGTGCAGGGCTGGATGAACACAGCAGGCCAAGCAGCATCATAGGAGCAGAGAGGCTGACGTTTCGGGCCTAGACCCTTCATCAGAAAAGGGGGAGGGGAAGGGGGTTTTGAAATAAATAGGGAGAGAGTGGGAGGCGGATAGAAGAGGGATAGAGGAGAGGATAGGTGGAGAGGAAACAAACAGGTCGAAGAGGCGGGGATGGAGCCAGTAAAGGTGAGTGTAGGTAGGGAGTTAGGAAGGGGA